GGAGGCGGCAGCCTGATTTGCATGTTTGCATATGTAAATGAAAATATTTGCATAGCGGCTTTTTATTTGCCTTTGCTGCCTTCTGGCCACTCTCTTCTGCCCCCCACCCCCAGTGGCAGCGGCTGTTTGAGCCCCACCTATGAGATGCCCTTCTCCCTCCTGCAGTCTCTGAGCTGGGCACGGGGGCAGACTTTGGGGGGTCAGAGCCAGGCACTGGGGGGCACAGTGCCCACAGACACCCCCAGTGGTCACCGGAGCTCCCGTGGCCACGTGCTGCGGTGCCTGACCCTGCCCATGCCCTCACCGGGTGCCAGTGGCTTCCACCGCCGTGGCCCCTAGCCGCATCTGTCCGTCACCATGGCACCCGACGGACTAGGTGGCCGTGGTCCCTGCCACCACCCCAGCATCCTGGTTGCTGTGCGGCGGTTGCCATGGCTCCCAGCAGTGTCCATTGCCGTGGCATCTTGTTGCCGTGGCATCTGTCACCACAGTTCCCAGAAGCCTCCCCCCCATCAGCTGCCCCTGCCCCCTCCCACCTCAGGGCCCAGTTGTGGGGGGAGGGGAGCATGGGGGAGTGGGATTTTTTTGGGGGGGGGTGAATCTGGTTGCATCTGGCCTGACCGTAGCAGCCGTGGGAGCCACTCAGGTGCAAATCAGCCTGACAAGCCTCGTTACAGGCCTCATTACAGCCAGGGGGGCTCCCCTCTCCCCCAACAACCACCCTTAGCAACCGGTTGCCGAGCTCCAGAGCAGCTCCTTGATGCGGGGGAGATGCTCCAGGGTCGCGCTAAGCAGGGATAGACCAAGCCACGGCATGGATGGGAGCCTGACTCCAGGCCTCACTCCCCGCACACGGCCCCCTGGGATACTGGGGGGCTGCCTGGGAGTAAATGGCACACGCCTTCCTGCCCCAATCCCACAGGCTGGGCTGAGGGGGGCAGATGCCCCAGCTTCAGGGCAGGGCCCAGCTCAGATCTAGGCCACAGTCCCTGAGGCAGCTGGGAGTCGGGCCCTGCGCTGCAGGGCCTGCCCGGAGGGGGCCCCTGGCCCCAGGGCCGGGATAAGCCGGTGCTAACGAGGGGCGACGGCGCCCTGCATTATAGATGTGCCGAGCGGCACTGCTTTCAAGTGCCCGTCGCCTCCAATTACCCGGCCCGGAGGCTCAAAGCATCGAGAAATCAAAGCCCGCAGCTGGGCCGAGCCGGGAGCTGGAAAGCAGCCCGGATGCTGGGGGGGGGGGG